TTCGAGAAATATAAATTTTATATTTAAAGTTAGTTTGATATTACAGTTTTAAACAGTTGACTTTGTACTCCTACAGAACAAATTTTTTGATATAAAGATATTGTATTGAATTCATATAATGATATAATTTAGAGTGTTTTAGATTTCCAGTATATAGTTAAAATTGCTGCAGTATTGCTGTAGCGATAAATCTACAATCTGATTATCAAGTGTTATTTGGTATCGTTATCTGAACTACTTAAAGGTTTTGTTTTTAAGATGTTTATGTTTTTCTACTCTGAAAATCTCTATGTGAATGAGAATAAAATAACAAGTAAAGTACTGCGAATTATTACTATGATTTTAATCCTAACTAATCTCACCAACGAAATACTAAGCAGACGTTTTTGTGAAATAACGCGAACAGAATTCATTTGCTATTGTTTGAACTAAATTTTCACAAACTGTGAATATTGTGCATGTGAATATAAATGTGAAATTTATTTTATTGATATTTAGTTGTAGTTAAATACTGAAAAATAAAATTATTTTAGAAAACAAAATTATATATTTCAATTTCTAACTGTGTATGTACAATACATTTCTAATCCAACTAATACTTGCTTAAAATATTTATCCATTACCAAACACAAGAAAAATTATAAATACACATAAAATATCAAATAATCTGTTTGTGCACATAAGGCAGTATTATATTATATAGTATATTATACATTATATTATATGGTATATTTTATTCTCCATTTAATATTATGTGCACCTGAATCGACTAAAGACTCTTTTGTTTAACTGATTGTGTACACATGGAGAAAGTCGTTGAACAATAGCTTCGGTAATTCGCTTAGCGTATCTCACCTGATCAGACAATTTTTTTTCTAATGTCATCCTTATCCCTCCTAATATTATTATACGTGATATTGCATAAAGTAATTTGGTATATAAGAAGCTTACAAATTCCTTTCTTTCTTTCCTTTCTTTCGAATGCTCTAATTACATGCAATCTATTGTTTCGATTATTCTTTTCTATAACTTTAATTTTCTAGAACTCGGTCATAGACTCTATCACAATTGTTCGGTCACAATTGCTTTAACTCCCTTATAAGTATAATATTTTTCTTTGATATTGCCTAGGCACTACAGCTAAACTATATGTAGATTTATAAAAAATAAGTGCATTCACTTTATTTTTTGCTCTTGCTCACTGGAATAGGGCTCTTAGCACTCGCGTTTTAATAGGTAAATGTATTCATTATGACTTCTCAAGAGTTGGTTCAACAGGCCTTAAAAGTCAATGAATTTGAGGTTTTCCATAACTACAGAAAGGAAAAGAAATTAAAAAAAAAAAGAAAAAAAAAGAAATACAAAAATGAAAACGGAAAGGTCACGTTTTATAAGCCTAATGTCGCTACCATCGGATACCCATATATAGCACTATTATTATTTATAGCACTATCATAATCAGACTTTGTACTTATTTTTTATTATACTGAAAATTTATATGATGTAAATACATTCATTTTCACTGAGTTGTTATACAAAATATTTTGCAAAATATACGTTCACCTCTACTGAGTTGGGTTTCATGTTTCATGTTCATGTTAGTTCTATAACTATTTTAGATTTTCTTTTCGTTTTTAAGCTAAATACAAACAAAAAATCTTTATTTTTATTTTTGCTTAACAAATAAAAATTAAATCGAAATAAAAAACTTTATGTTTGTTTTCTATTTCTATTTTTAATTACATTTTTAACTTAAACTAATAGTGCCAAGGGTCATATGTCATGGCACGTCACTTTATTAAGCTGACCTCATGTAAGAACTCACTTACATGTAAGTTTCCTAGCCTGTAACTATTTTTTATCAGCTTAAATTTG